CTGTGAAATGTCATTCCAGATTTATCCTAGAGCTTGTGATAGTCTCACCTGAGATCGAGGTTGTCTTGCCAAATCTCTTAATCTACGATCTAAAAGTCCAATTTCAAGCTTTAATTAAAAAAAAAAAAACGTTATTCTATGTAATTTTTCGTGAAGTTACCGTCAGTCAAAGTTGATTAATGTTTGCTCAAAATTTTCCTATGCCATAATTTTTTTGAGCAGTATATAAATTTGAAAATAATTTTGTTGGCTTGACTACCAAAGTAATTATATTAAAAACTAAAAAATGATGCGCATTGCTACACAAAATTTTGACATTCTAGCAATCAAGTTTTCAATCAAATTATTTTTAGATTTGTATCCAATGTTTTGAATCTTTTACCAAAATCGTTCTGTTCTTTCCACGTAATCTTTTTAAATAGGAAAATATAACATGAAAAGTATAAATACCATAGATTGGAAGATTTTGTTAAAATATCGAAGGCAAAAGGAGAAAAACCACATTTTGACATCCTTAAACTGAGATCAGATTAGAGATTGGATTAGGATTTAACCAATCAAAAGAAAGAAAACCAATCTCATGATTAGTGAACTTTACTTTGATTGGTTAAACTTCAATCTAATAACCTTAATCTCAGTGTCTAGTCTTTGATCACTTTAGAAAACGCAATATAATGGAACGAAACATAAAACATGTCTCGGATGCCAAGTCAATCGCAATCAGACTGATTGGCTTAACTTCCGAGATCGGTCCGTGCAGGAAATGGAAGCCTAAGAAATACATACAGGCAAGAAACGATTCCGAAGCAATTGGCCAATCGATTGTTTTTCACAAATTGCAGGAACATATTCCATAAATCAGGGCTTTCAATTTCCCTAAAACGCTCGGCAATGATCCCTTTTGATGATGGAGGACGCAAGGACGAGCGGATCGATTCTCACGCGCGCGTTCGAGATTTACTTCGCGACAGGCGAACGAAAGTGAAAGCTACCGGCGACAAGACGCGACGTTTGGCAAATCGAATCGAGTCATGGGAAGCTACCGCAACCTAGACTTCAATTCATCTTGCCTCAATGGAATTTAGAAGGGATAATCTCTCTCGTTCGAGAACGACGGTGCAATCGGTTCCGGCGTTTTAGTGGGTGTCGTCGCACGCTCTTTTCCTCTTTCTCTCTCTCTCTCTCTCTCTCTCTCTCTTACAATTAGATTGTTCTTTGCACGTACTATACACACATTCTCATACGATCATATTCTGTTATTTTCATTTTATTTTATTTCCATTTGAATTTTTCTTTTAATTTATTATTTTATTATTGCGAGAGAAAAGATGATTGCAGTTTGTCATAATTTAATTATAATTTATATAGTTACTTTTTTGAGATAAGTTTATTCATAGTCATCACTACTTGAAAATGTTTAGTTAAAAAATTTCATAAATAGGTGAATTTAGAAAAATAGTTACATTCATTATAATTACGATTGCATTTACCGAATAAAAAATGTTTATTTACTTGTCATTTATGTCTTAATATTTTACTAATCGTAAGTATGAAATATTTAATATTTGTAATAAATGTTTAGAATTAAAATTTATATAATATATATAGTGTAATTTTTTCATGTTTAAGAGAATTAAAAATATATTGTTATTATTAACATTACAGCAGTAATAATCATATAATAAAAATGGAGCTCCTAACAATTATTTATCACTTTTCTATCAGTGTGTAAAGCTTTTAGGCCAAGTATTCCTATGTCAACGTTATAATCTTACATAGTACAATAATGTGTACTACTACTCTCGCGTATTAAGGAGCAAACTGCGCAAAATAAATAGCGCTTATTTCTTCCTTTTTTCTCCTTCACTCCTCTTGTTTTTTTCTCTTTTTCTCGCGAAATCATCGAATGATTAATGGACGAGAGCGGTAGTCATAGGGAAGTGTGACACGACCTGGAAACCCCTTTGGTTCCCTTACGCAGTAGATATCTCTCGGAACGAGACCGTGACTGTTGCAGAGAGAGAGAGAGAGAGAGAGAGAAGTCGAAAGCGCGTTTCTTACGCAATAATTTTTAGTAACCAGCCGTGAAATAACAGCGTCGTAATGTCGCTGCTGTCTTGTCTCGAACTCACCGAGAGATGCTCATCGCGACGACAAGCACCGAGAATGGAACACCTACATATGCAAGCACGGTTGTAAATCGGATGAAAATGTCACGCATACGCGTCCGATTTCGTATGCACAATTTAAAAAAACCATCATTTATCGCTTGTTTATATTACTTGGAATTGCATAATTGAAAGAGCGCTTCTATAAGAGATGCGTCTGCATAATTGGAATTCAGTTGACGTGACCTTTCGTCGCCATTTAAACTTGTTTTATCATTATTAACGAGAAATATGTGAATAAGTTAATAATTTGGTTTTTCATCATAATAATCATGTAGGATGCTCAAACTGATAACTGGAACGTTAACGTTTTTTGCATTATTTTCATCAACGTTTACATAATCATTTCGATGAGCCAACATTATTTCCAAATCTAGCTAAAATTTTTTTCTAGATACTTTTATAAATTTGTTATCAAAAACTTTAATATCAGTTTACTACTGAAAAGTACTGAAAATTATTCTTCGAACTGTTCAGTTTTATTATTTAAAAGTAAAACCGATACTGAAAAGTACTGAAAACTGTCCTTTAAAACTGTTTAGTATCAGTTTTACTACTGAGAAGTAGTAAAAGTGATACTGGACGGTTTTAAAGAAGAATTTTTAAAAACTGCTGAAAAATAGTATATGTAATAAGAACTAAGAACAGTTTTCAGTAATAAAACTATTCAGATTTGTAGTCAGACTTAATTTTAAATATATTAGGTGTTGGAATTAATTCGTAGCGTTTTACAAGAGATGGGAAGTACTTTCATTAATGTATTTTTTAATGCTCATGTGAAATAAATAACATTCTTTCATTAAAAAACGCTACGAATTAATTCCAACACCTAATACATCAAAAAACTTTTTCCCATAAATATTTATTCTACTGCGTAATCCATGAACATCTGCGAAAGAGACATTCCTGAAAAGGCGGAGTGTACATGATTTGACGTCGATTGCAATTTGCTATTAGGCAATTGGGAGATGTAAGAGAGGAGGTTCATAAGATCGCATCCGCGATGCGATCGACGATGCGTTCTCCAGCGGTTCGGCGGAAAAAAGTACCGACGGCTCTCCTGCAGGTCGCTGAATTACGGAGCGTTGCAAAATCCCAACGTTTGCGCAATTAAGCGGCGAGCGTCTCGACCGACGTCGCTGAGAAAAGAAAACGCCGGGCTAAAATTTCGTAGTTGTAGTAATACCGGTCTCTCGTTAAGGTCTCATGAACGCGCGCACATTTTTACCTCGTATATCTCGATTGCGCCATCGTTACAATCCGAGCTGAATCGTTGCGCGAGCAAAACGGCGCGTAAAGCGATCCAGCTAATAACCGCATTGCGTACCAACAGGCGCCTAACTGAACGGCGTTTTTTATTTTAGCGTTTTTATTCTCCCCTCATAAAAGCGATAAGTGCCGATTAAGTAAACGGATGAATGACAACGATAATGACAACAGTGTAATTAATACAAAGGAAAGCTCCGGGTCTCTCTCCTGTAATTGTATCCGTGGTTGCAGCGACAGCTCGAGAACGTTACGTTGGTCGTTACGTTGATCTTGACATTTAAACCTCCACGAGCTTGTGATTCGTTCGTAATATTCTGTTTCCACGATTTACGATCGAGCGATGGATGAATGAAAGTTCGTCGACGGATCATGTCTCGCCTCTTCTTTTCTCTTTCTTCTTTTCGCTGCACTGTTAAGTTCACAGTGTCATGTTATACTCAATTTGAGTAATTTTTAATTATTTTTATAAGTCGCCACTGTTCCTATTCAATGTATCATTAATTTAATTAAAACAGTAGAATTAAATAATTTAATTCAAGAAAATGTATCAAATGTAGTTTATTTACTAAATAATATGTTAATGTGGATGATATTCATTTTGAAACTAACTGCAGAAATGAATTGGTTTACATTTTGACGCACATGAAGGTTAAAAATAACATAATGTTATTTAAGTTAAAGAGAATCTGATTACCATCGCGCGCTTCTTTGATATCTAACAGCATATTCCAAACAGAGTATCTGCTTCTAGTATGAATTAAATTCCAGTCGAATAATCTCGAATTTCTTATGAATATTAGAAATTTTCACCAGTGAAATCGCTGTCCTTTCAATTCTCAAGACCTGTAAAAAAATTAATTTTCTTTTCGCAACGAGATATTAGCAAATGCATTTCGAATTCCGCAAATACTTAGTTCCTGAGTTTGTATGTACTTAGTTCTCTCGATCAGTATCGTTTCGCAAGTACAATATGTCACTCCTAAATACCACTCCTTACATTCGCAATAATTTAGTAGGGATTGCAGCACATTGAGAGTCGTGCATCTGCACTGAGAAAAATATTTGAGGGATTCTGATTGAAAATGAGCAAATCGGAATTTTCTAGTTAGATCTGCTAAATTCTAGTTGATACAACCAGAATTCTGATTGAGCGGAATCTTCTGGTCCATATATTTTCAACCAGACATTTTTCTTATCTATGAATCGGACGACCCGAATTCAAATCCAATCAAAATTCGAATCTTATTTGATTATCGTCTCTCTGAAAAGTAGAGAAACCCACCGAGAGTGTCTTGTGAGTATCTTGAACCCTTCTGTATTCTAGAGGCTATTCAAAACTGGCCTTTGTAGGTCTCATATTGAGAAAAACAGTTTGATTATACCACCAAGACATTATACGGTTGAATGCATTTTGATAAACCCAGCGGAACGTCTAATTATCATAGGATAGGATTTGATACTTTATAACGAGAATGTTTGATAGACCTAAGTATACGGATTTTTGCAATCAAGTTGCACGTTGAACTCGAATTCCAGCTCGCTGAAGATAAACGTCTGTTCCAGAGGTGGAGTGCGAGGTGTCTAGCCAAGTGGAGTATTCGCTGCAAGCGATCTGGGGCGTCTGCATAAGAGAGCTACACCTGGCGCTCTGGAAACCTTGGAGCACGTTACGAGACGCGTCCCTGAACGGGACTCTTCTACAGGGCCACGCGCAGTACCTCACGCCGCCACAAACGTATCCTTTGAGAATCACTCCGAGATGATTTCGTGAAATCGCGCGGTCTCATGCAAATTTCGAGACGCGGAATAACAGTTTGATGAAAATGCCATCAAAATAACAGCGAGAACTTAGTTGCGCACCTAATAATTTTGCATAATCTATCTCGATGGGTTGTTTCTGGCAGACTAGTCACGTGTGCCATAATTTTTTTTTTTTGAAGAACGTCTGATGTAGCTCTAGCCGGTCCTTCGCGTAAGATTTGAAACGAGAAAATTATACAATTGCGCGTTGTCTGTTAAAACAATTGAACTGGAAACGTGTGAAAAAAAGTTTCAACAAACTAACTCGTGGTCATTCTCGGTCTGTTTTTAAAATATTTTTCTCGGTCTCATTTACATTTTCAAGAACATTTGATTTGATCGCTCTCGTTCGCTAATCAATTTTTTTACTTCGTGTGTTTTTTTACTCGTACATTGTTTTTCAATTGCTATTCTTCTTGACCGAAACTGCAGTAGACAGCCACACGGTGAGGAAACGTTGAGATTATCTCTACCAGCTCCGGAACTCGAGCTCGGCACTCCGCCACGGCTCTGCTATCCTCTGGTGATTTTTCTTACTCGAAGAGACAATCGGGATCCTCATCCTGACGAAACCGTGAGAAATGCTTTACTATCTTGTAGATAACTTCTAGGATAACTCTGGTATATATTATGCACTCGAAAACTTAATTTCTCTATCTATTTTAATTTATCTAAAATTTAATTTAAAACCTTATAAAACCTTATTACGCCATATACAGTCATATAATAGAGTGATTGTGTGTAAATTAAATTACTTCTTTTATTTTTTCTGACTTTCGTGATATAAATTCTCGCTCGGAATAAGTACTGAAGTTACCCTACATGTTTTTTTTTGTAAAAGAGAAGAAAAGCAAAACTCACTTTCATTATCATCCATCATCTCCCGACATTTGTGTTTAAGGTGGCCCTGGTAAACGTCGTTCACATTAAGGACAGCGTGTGTACATTGCCGACTTCGATTCTAGCGCAGTATTTGAAGCAGGCAAACGGCCAACTGTCTTGTTTGAAGGTGAGTGCGAGATACAACGATTAGCTCCGAAAGGTGAATCCCAGTATCTACCATTAATCATCGGCATCGAATCTCTTAAATGTCGGACGCGAAAGATTTATATATATATATATATATATATATATCGCAGATTAATTATTAATTGAGATAACTGTACCTAATATGATCTAGTATGAAGTAGGCCATAGTCTTGCTGTTATAATTACATGACTATAAATTCAATGTTCAATCTTCAAACTCATGTAAATATTGAAAATATCTGATATTTTCAATTATTCAGAAATGTTTCCTATTTTGAATCTGACCATCAATGTTGGACTCAAAAATCGTAACGCTTAAATTGACCGTATTGGGTAAAGTTACTTTATATTCCAAAAATGATAGTGATAAAAACGCGTTAACGATGGCCTCAATGTTTCTCTCGAAACTCGCTCGCTGATAAACTCGACATCATGACAACTCGTGCTTGCGATTTTTCCGCAGCAATTGTACCTGGCCACGGGCAACTCCAGCAACTACGATGAGAGCGATGCGATGTCTTCGGCTGGTCTGGGTTCGCCAGCCCTGGCGCTTGCCGAGCCGTGTAATAACAACGACAGCGCCGGCGCCGGCAGTCGCGGTGCTCTGGTGGCATCCGGTCAGAGTGGTGACCAGGAAGGCGGCTCGCTTTGGAACACCGCGGGTGAGCAGCTCTGCGTCGTCTGCCAGTACTTCCCATTATCACGTGCCCTGCTACCATGCCGACACACCTGTATTTGCGCCTCGTGCTTCGGCAAGCTCGACCGGTGCCCGATGTGCCGCAGTCCGATCAAGAGCTACTTTTGCATACGCAGCGAGGAGTACATGCCACCGGAGAAGGAGATCAATCCTTGCAAACAACGTCAGTCCAGCCACGGACCTACTCATTGGCTCCACGATTGGAATGATCGGCTCACTGATTTCCTCGGCTTCGCCCGATAGGAGTATCACTCTCACTAAGGTCGCACGTTCTATATAAGCAAATGTCAGGATGGTCGACAGACTTTTTGTTTAATATAGATAATTTCTGCAGGTTTATTCCTATGTAAATCCTAGTGACCCGGCACAATATTAAATATCTTGAAATGATTGCGTTTTAAAAACGTAGTATTACATTTCTTCTTTATTGTTCAAATTATTTTTATATGAAATGTTATATGTACATATATAAAAATTATATGATATTATATGATATTCTCATATATGCACAAAAAAGTGAAAAAATTAATTTTGAGAATACAAAACTTAGAAATTGTCATATGGTAAGTTCAAAGATAGTAATTGACAAATTGTTTCAATATAATATAAGAAACAGGTTTTAATTTGTTACTTATTCTTATTTTAATTTTTACAGCCATTGCAAATGACAATGATTTTACTCCGCTCAAATTTTTCCTATGTGACTGAAAAAAACTATACAGTTTATAACTCAATAGACAGTTTATTAATCATTACTTTTATCTTTGATTTATGTTGGAATAAATTTGTAGGACTTAGTTACAAAACAGAAAGTATCAATCGTACTGACACTGACATATCTTGATTTATCATTTAATTATAAGAAAAGTGCGGAAGTTCGTAAGAATTCACAAGAAAAACGCTGTGCAGCCAGTGAACATAAAAGCTCCATCATTTTTGTTCTCGGCCCAAACAAAAATAATTAAAAAAAAAAATCATTGTTTGACACTTTTTAATTTTTCATATAATGTATTTTTGAGAGAAAAAAATGTTTAAGATTATATATATTCAGATGTCCTCCTATGTAATTAATCGAGAATTATATTTTTATCACAGATTTTTTCTTCTGAAAAATCTGCTGCTATTATTTATTCTTAATCATTGATTTTTCAACCATTGTTGACATACATATATACGCACGCAACACACGCACTATTTGGGAATTATGAATTTAATAGATTTCTTTAATTTTTTATATTCTTTACATATATATATAAAATGAAACACACTATATGTATGTATGTATGTATGTATGTATGTATGTATGTATGTATGTATGTATGTATGTATTTATGTATGTATGTATATACATACAGTGTGTTTCATTTTAATCGCCCCGGGCAAATATCTCGAAAAATATGGAAGATACAAAAAAAAAATATTTCAGACAAAAGTTGTATGATTTCGAGGCAGACATAAGATGGTATCATTGGTTTGACTTTGAGTCGTTGTCAAGGTCAGACAAAGGTCACATTAAATTTTTTAAATGGAATCCCTCATTTTTTATTACATACATATTCTTGTAGTTTACCTTGAGAGCTTTCCAAAACATTATAATAAAATATTTTTTTATTAAGTATGAGGCTTTATTTAATTATGAGGCTTGAAAGTCACAGTGCCGGCATTAGCATTATCCAAGGTGTACCGGTCAGTGAAGACAAGATCCGAGGTGGATCCGGCCGATGAAGATAAGATCCGAGATGGATCCAGTCGATGAAGGCAAGACCGATTAACTCCCTAAAATCTCACATCGAAGTCAGTGATAAAGTGTTTATGTTTGGTCTACAGCAAATGCTCAAATGTACCATCATTCTGTTGGATACATAGTTGCAACCTTTTGTCGAATATATCGATTGTTTTTCTAAGAACATTGTCTGGTATACTTCTATATGCCCGTCTGATGCGGTACTTTAGATTTTCAGCTGTGGTAGATGCGGTTTGGTAAATGGTTTTTTAAATAGTCCCATAAGAAAAAATCTGGTGATGTTAGATCTGGTGATGTATGATCTGGAAAGATCATACTATATGGCCACCTCTTCCAATCCAACGACGCTAAGAAATTAAATTTAAAAAATCCCTTACAGGGCAACCACACAGTTGAACTGTATTTTCATCGAACAAATTCTTGGTAACACTTCTCGTAGCATACGTAAGTATGAGTCTCCTGTAACATTGTCATAAAAAAAGTGGGGTCCAATAATATATGATCATCTAAAATACCACACCAAACTATCACCTTCCACCGAAGCTGATTGTCTACATGACAAACCCAGTGTGGATTGGTATCGGAATAATATAATAGCTATTATGCCCATTCAACATATCATTGCTCTCAAATGCAAATTCGTCACTAAACATGACGCGAAAAAAAATGAGATCGAACTGAATTTTCTCTACAGCCTACCTGCAGAATGTGACACGAAGAATTTTCTCGTTATCAGAAAATTCCTGATTTAGTGATAAGGATGAATGTGATTGGCATTATGTACAATTCTACATACAGTTGCAGGAGATATTCAATTCACGACTAATTTGATGTTGATTAATGTTCATTCATTCGGATTCATATTACCATTCCTAATATGGTTACGATAATAGCATCGTCGTTATTTAATGTTTTTTTTAGGACATTTACGTTTCATCAATCCCGTACGCGCTCTAGTTGTTAAACGCAAAATTGCTTTATGATCCGGATACCTATCTCGATACTGATGAGCTGCTTTTCTAGTATTATTATTAGCGGCATAAAAAATACCAATCATATCAACTATACTTTCTGACGGCGGGTAATTTGCCATGTTAATAGTGACACAATTAATGGAAGGAACAAAATGAGTTTACTCTATCGAATAAATCATCGCAATAAGAGCCAACTCGAATCGATTTTAAGTAAAAAGACAATCAGCTGCATGGGAGCCTAATGAAAGTGTTTTAGAATATGTAATAGATGTCTGTATGAAACAGCGCGCCGTGTGTGATTGCCATGTGTCATTGTTAACTTTCCGCCGGGGGACAGACGCAAGGTCTCGTAAGACCCACGAGTTAGAGTTGTTTACTTTTTTCACCTGTGAGTCAAGTATGCTTTCCCGTCTCCTGTTTTATGTTAGTTGATCGATGTTTCATAGCAACTCAGTGGAAATTATTTTGTTTCCTTCCATTAATTCTGTCATTATTAACATGGCAGATTACTCATCAGAAATAGTTGATATGATTGGTATTTTTTATGGTACTAATAATAATGCTAGAGAAGCAGCTTGTCAGTATCGAGATAGGTATCCGGATAAATAATATCCTAATCATAAAGAGCAATTTTGCGTTTAACAACTAGAGGGTATACGGGATTGATGAAACGCAAACGTTCTAAAAAAACCATTAAATAATGTTATTATCAATGTTATTATCGTAACCATAGGAATGATAATAATGAATGCGCACATTAGTCAACGTCAAATTAGTCGTGAATTAAATGTGTCTCCTGCAATTGTATGTAGAATTGTATGTAGTTTTACATGCCATTCACATTCATCCACCTCGGATCTTGCCTTCACTGATCAGTACACCTTGGATAATGCCGGCACATACTATGACTTTCAAGCCTCATAATTCGAAAACTACTTAATGAAAAAATATTTTATTATGTTTTGGAAGCTCTCGAGGTAAGCTACAAGAATATGTAATAAAAAATGGGGGATTTCAGTTAAAAAATTTAATATGACCTTCGTCTGACCTTGGCAACACCACCCAAGATCAAACCAATGATACCATCTTATACTCCCCCCCCCCTCTCCCTCGAAATCATACTTTCGTCTGAAACATTTTTTTGTACTTCTTATATTTTTCGAGATATTTGCCTGGAGCGATTAAAATGAAACCCCCCCCCCACCCACCCCCACACACACACACACACACACACACACACACACACACACACACACAAAATGCTTTTTAAATATGAATTGAAGAGACTATTGGAGTTTTAGAAAGTTCTTCATTTTTTTGAAAAAAGCAATTTCAAATTTATAATTGAGAGACACAATATATCAACAAACAAGAAATTAAAAAAATTTTCGGACTCTCAATATTTTAAATAAAAAATTAATAATTTTGAAATTAACTAATACGCGGTTATTTTTAGATTTTAATTTATTTTTTCTGTTTTTATAATACATATCACTTAGCATTTAGAATTTCTTTCAGCCTTATTTTTTCTGAATTAAAGAGACCTTGTGTTGGTTTCCGCTATAAAGTTTTTCAAAATCTTCTCATTTGATTCAGAATCCATTTTGGCGGATCTCTCCTTATCTTTCGAACGCTCTTTCGAGCACTCTTAATAGATAATTGTGTATTGTTATAGAATATCAACAAACATTTTGTATAATTTTCAGAATAAGTGCCTTTAAATATATGTAAAGTCAACAATCAATTCTGAGTATCAATTAAATATTAGAGAACAATACAAAGATTATAAAAGACATATAAGAGTCAATATTAACAATTCTTAATGTAAAAAGTTAAGAAATAGAATACATTATTTAAATATATTATTTAAATTCAAAAAGGTACATTAGTTATACAATAATATTAGAAACCATCGCCACTAATATCCAGATAGCAAAGCCTGCAGATACATTTTGAGTAGAGCATGCTATCAATTTTTAATAGCAGAAAGACAACAAATTGATTGGAATAATATAAAAATCTTAAATGATGAAAAAGTTGTAAACAAAAGATTAATTTCTGAAACTGTATATATTCTATAATTATATATATATTACTCAATAAAAAAGTATATATACTATAACTGTATATATACATATGTATATACTACTCAACAAAAAATAGGGAACACTTTCGAACATTGTATAATATTCAGATTTTTCACATAACTCAATGACAAATCGTCGCAGACAAAAAATTAAAAAAAACATTTGAAGGTATGAAATTTCTACTTTTTGAAATTGATAATTGATATTTCTCTCTCAATCTGATCCTTTATGGTTTGATGATAGAGTTTGGTGATAGAATAGTAACAGGATTTAGTACACGAGATTTTGTTCAGTTTATCGAATGCTTAATTTATTGTTCGAAGTGATTACACGCGTTTGTATTGGATAATGTTTCACATCCAACTCTGCGACCTTTTTTTCTCCAGATACGTTATTTTAAATCTTTTCTCCTTTGAGATCCTTCTAGTATCTTTTCTTTTCTTTCTTTCATTCCTTTGTATTTTTGATCCCTCATATGGGGTCACATTACTATACGTATTAATAAGCTTTAGAACCTCTTCGGGGGCAGAGGCTTGCTTATGTTTTTGGATTCAATA